CTACAGCTACTACAGATAATACTAATACTACACCTACTACAGCTACTACAAATACGATAGGAACTACACGTGCTACGCATACTACACTTACTACAGATACTACAGCTACTACAGATACTACACCTACTCAATATAAGTGAACTTTTAGATGATGGCTGCGCAGGCTGTAGTCTTTCTTCATTTCAATAATTCGCCAACTCAATATAAGTGAACTTTTAGATGATGGCTGCGCAGGCTGTAGCCTTTGTTCATTTTGACCTCTGTATATTTTTACTATAAATCTCGTAATTAGATAACTATAGATATTTTACCTACTACTGTACATAGTTTTTAGTTTGTATATTCTCCCCTAATTGGTGTCCCCAAATTAGTAAGGGATTCTTTTTTCCCTGGCTAGACGGCTTTTGACACTTTAATAAAGTTTCTATCTATCTATCTATCTACCTACTACAGATACTACAGGTACTACACTTACTACACCTACTACAGCTACTGCAGCTACTACAGATACTACAGGTACTACACTTACTACACCGACTACAGCTACTGCAGCTATTACAGATACTACAGGTATTACAGATATTACAGCTACTACACCTACTACAGATACCACACTTACTACACCTACTACAGATACTACAGATACTACACCTACTACACCTACTACAGATACTACAGATACAAAATGTACTACAGATGCTGCAGGTACTACGCCCACTACACCTACTACGGGTACTAAGCCTACTACAGATACAACACCTACTACAGATAATACAGTTACTACACCTACTACAGATACTACAAATAGTACACATACTACAGGTACTACACCTACTACACCTACTACAGATACTACAGGTACTACACCTACTACAGATACTACAAATACTACAGATACTACACCTACTACAGCTACTAAGGCTACTACAGATACCAGCTGTAGTACCTGTAGTATCTGAGGTAGCTGTAGCAGGTGTAGTAGTTGTAGTAGCTGTAGCAGGTGTAGTAGCTGTAGTATGTGTACTATTTGTAGTATCTGTAGTAGGTGTAGTAGCTGTAGTATCTGTAGTAGGTGTAGCATCTGTAGTATCTGTAGTAGCCTTAGTAGCTGTAGTAAGTGTAGTACTTGTAGTAGCTGTAGTAGGTGTAGTATCTGCAGTAGGCGTAGTTACTACAGATACTACAGATACTACAGCCACTACAGATACTACAGCTACTACAGGTACTACACACTCCTACTACAGCTACTACTACAGCTACTACTACGGTTACTGTTTAGTCACAGTAGTGTTTATATATAATAGTGGGCAGTGGCTCGGGACATTTTGGGCAGTCTTACACCAAGTACTACCCCACCGAGCCGAGAGTACACGGCTTCGATCCCACACGCACTTCCGCTTTTGGTCGCTTCAATTAGAATATTTACGGATGCAGGCATGATACAGACGGTAAGAAGTTTTAGTCTGTTGTAATTTTAATTTTATTCTTTTCTTGCCAGATATTTTGATTATCAGTTGAGCTTCTTTTTAGTATTTGAACCGTCACAATTTGCTTCTCGGCATTAGTTTGCATTTCAACCGACTGTTACTTGTAAACTTAGTGTAATCAAAGGAGCTCCAGCGTATTATAAATCGCCTACCATTTATTCACGGTTATTCACGGTTCAACTACGTGTAGTTCTTCTCTCGATTGGCATAATAATGCCCCACAGAAGTATGAATGTTTAATTTAAGTAAAAGAAGATCTGTGAATGAAGCTTAACATCTATTGCACAGTGTATTACCATTTCAATTACCTTCTTTCTGTCGGATAGCTGACCCAACCAACTTTAACTGGCTAGTTAAAGTCAATTTTTCTTGAAATTAAATGTTCTCCAACAGAGACGCTTTCCAGACTACTTTTAAAAGTCTCCAATATTGAAGAAATGTTAATAATGCTTAGCTTTTGAACGCGAAATGTCGACTCGTCACGTTAGCTTCGCATCGCTTGCCAGTTGATTTCGTGGCATGAATCAGTAAAATAGCGAGTAGAGAGGATTAAATCGGCCAACTCCAGATACTGTAGTCTTTTATATGCAGTTTATTCATAATTGTATCAGGTCGTAAGGGTCTTGGAAGAATAATATACTTGATTCGTATGGGTGTGACATTCTATCAGATTTGCATCCATTCCGTAATTTGAATAAGATCAAAATAGCGGACTGCATACTTAGTATATACTAGTAATAGTTGACACTACAGCTGCCCCCGCTCTGTATATTGTCGGTCAAAATATAGCATCATAGTGTTGCTCGTTGTGTAGCTCTTTGAAATATACCGATTCATAAGGAAGATTTTCACACATTCTATACAATAGGTGAGATAAATACAGGAAACGCAAGGTTCGATGCACAGTTTCAGGTCGATTTACACAGCTTTGATCAAAACATTTTCAGTTTCGAGAATAGTTTATTCTAAACCATAAGAAAAGATTTGATTAGAAGTTGAATTTTTCGCTATTTCTCTTTCTCTTTTTACATTCAGTTCATTTTATTTGCCGGAAAGGAAATCTTAGAAATTAAAAGGACGTTTGATCAATTCACACTCGCGCATTCTAGTCTTATTTTAAACTTCATAGCGGAACGACATCTGTGAGCAAGGAATAAGTCAGCTCAGAATTTGATTGTCGGCGAATTTCTTTAATCGTCCATCGTTCTGCTAGTGAGAAGCTAGTCGTTGTTCACTCGTCTTGCTTGTTTGGGGCTGAGTCATATATTGAAAAAGAAGACCGAAGCACGAAGCACCCAAATCTCGAAAACGAAGCACGCAAAAAACGAAAACGAAGCACCCAAAACTCGAAAACGAAGCACCCAAAACTCGAAACCTGTCTGTCCTTTAAAAACACGAGACAGTCCCTTGTCAAGTCACCAATGCTAACACAGCAGAAATCAAGCACGATAACGAATAGAGTGCAGTTTAAAACTATTCAAGTAGAACCACAAGATGTTGCAAATGCAATTCCGTCGCCCTGGCTATTGGCCACTTTGGAGTTGCGTAGGGCAATGGGGCGAGTATCAGATTTAAGCTAAGAGATAAACTGACTGACCACCGTATAAAAGGACATGTTGAGATTGGATATTTGACCAAGTTTGGAACTCTAAGGTTGAACAGGGATCAAGTTATGACTCTTGAAACATGGTTAAAGATCCATACAAATTTCTGTAATTTCGTGACAGTGTCCCCCAATTAAACTCTTAGTTTTTTTCGCGATTTTTGTGATATTCCTGAAAATGAGCAAACATTGTGATTTTCGAATTAGTTCCCTCCAGGTAGTAGATGAATGACGAATTTTACAGTTTAACAGGAAAACTGAAAAATATTTTAAAGAGTTTCAGTATGGGTTTTCTTTTGTCGGGGGGGAGGGTGTGGCTACACGTAGGCTACCTTAACTAAGGTATGGGTCGCACTACCTTGTGGTAGAAATCTGTCATCGGTGGACATTGCTAAGTGCGACCCGAAGTTTTCAGGTTGGAAAAAGCGTTGAAAATCGGCAAAAACATCAAAAACAACGTAGTGCTTGTGTGGGGCAGGCAAATTTTGGAAAACTCGAGCTAAACAATATAAGGAATGACAGCAGTAACAGTCAGCGCTTGTCAGTCTTGTCAGTGAAACGTGATCAATTTGAAACACGATCAGTCAGAAGTAAACGTGGTCGAATGTTCAGACCTTCGTGCTTTCGTGGACGGACGAGGGAACTACTATCCTTGGCCATTTTAAGGCTTTTACGCATCCGTTGCCTCCACCTGGTTTGGCTTGCATCATGCAAGACTTAAAGTTGTAGTCCTTCAACCTACAGTGGTTTCGAGATTTGGGTGCTTCGTTTTCGAGTCCTGGGTGCTTCGTTTTCGAGATTTGGGTGCTTCGTGCTTCGGTCTTTGTTTGAGAGAGAAAGAGCGGTCTGGCAAGGTTTCCAATGAAAGATTTGTGAGCTCTCCAAGTGTTTATATATACACAGTTATACGCACCTTATAACTTCTTCTGCCCTTAACGAGTGTCGTTAAAGTTTTGGTCCATAACTTTTACTGAAACAACTGCTCAACAGAATGTCACTGATAACACGTAACGCACAAGAGTGTCGAAGTATGACTGTACAATAAATGTCACAAAATCTACCTAAGCAGTCCCTTGGGGAAGTTCTCTCTTTACGTCATCCTAACCACTTCGTACTTGCGGACGCAAACAATAGAAACGTCATCATTACCTACCGATTCCTCGCGGCCCCTGTTCAAGCAAATCGAGATTTTTTCCATATTGACTGTATGACTGTATATTTCAGCTGTAAGTACTTTCCTTAATATGCGCGCGAGGTCCTAGAGTGCCTCCTCGGGATTTCGCCTTCTGGGCGAAATCCCTGCCGGGGGCAAAAACACGGGCTATAAGAAAACACCACGAGCCAGGCATCAAACGCAAACTACGATAAAAACAGCCCTTGCCTTTTTTAGAACATCTAGAGCTTTTTCAGGTCTCTCTTAAAAAAACAGATTGTAACATAAACCGATGGAAACTTTCTTTAGTTTCGTCACGCAATCTCTCGTCCAGACGTTAGCGGAAAAAAAGCACGTGACGAATCCCCAAGAGCGTCTACGTGGAGGGCTGTGACCTTTACGGTAATACGGACTTCCCGCTCACTTAAAATATAAAGAAAACTAAAAGGTTTGATAAAGAGGTGTGCTTTCCCTGACTCGTTTAGCCAAAACAAAAAGAACAAAATTTAAAAGCGTCGGTCAGATCCTAGTGCATAACCATTTAATTATTGTGTTAGGCTTGTAGAGCTATAAAACGGGATTTTTGAATAAATGTGGCTACTCAAAAAATAGAAAAAAAATCATGAACTTGCATAGTTTTAAAACCTGTAGAGACTGAGGTTTAAAACTACAAGCTAATTATTTTAGCAAATATTTCAATTATGTTTGCATTCCATTTGCTAGTAACATGACCAGTTATTAAGTCTGAGAGAAAAAAATGGCGGCCGCTCCAGATCCAGAGGAGATCCTTCGTTCAACGAGAGGAAAAGATAATTTTAAGCGCATTACACGACTTTTAATAAGTGGAGGAACCAGCCTGCTGAGGGAGATTTTTGACTCCTTATGTCCTCCAAGTAATCTTCCCACGATTCTCGGCAATCCAGTAACAAAGAACCAGCTCAAAGCTGCAAAACTCACCATGCCACAGTGGCACTCTCTTTGTCCTTCCCCAGGGGTGTACGGCAAGTCAGCAGATTTTGATGTCACTCTACTTTTTCGATTGTTGAGAACTATATGCAGCCTCACCCCTCCCACCACAGGATGGGATGCACTACCGGTCAGTACAGATCACAGTTTAACAGCTGATATAGCAAGGGTAAAGTATTACCGAAACTCGGTTTATGGTCACGTGAACCAAGGCATGGAAATTAGAGATAATGAGTTTAAAACACTTTGGCAAGAAATCAGTGAAGCTCTTGTGAGGATCGCTGGGCAGATCAGTTCTACGAGGAAAATTGCATGGCAAGGAGCCATTGCTAAATATTTGACAGATCCTCTTACAACTGAAGATGAACGAAATGTGCAAGAACTCGAGGCATGGTATAAAAGTGATATGGAGATCAAGAAATCTATAGAAGAAGTCAGGGAACGAATAAATCGTTTGGAGGTAGGGTTGAAAGTATGTGGCCATCATTGCCATTTGCATTGACTTTAATTCAACAAATTCATGTTTTTGACAGCCAGAGGATTAAATGGTATTACTGAACCTTAGCCATCAATTCTATTGGGAGAAAAAACAGGCCAGAATACAGTGTATAGTCATCCTCGGAGACCCAAGGGCAGCTAGTCGGGTCGATAAAATGTTCGTGGTGAAAGTTTACTGTAAGATCGAGACGACTCTCGATCTTACAGTAAACTTTCACCACGAACATTTTATCGACCCAACTAACTCACCCTGAGTCTCCGAGGATGGTGTATAGTCTGATAAGTAGGAATTAAGTTTTACACCGAGTTCGTTTTCTAAACGTTTTCTCGAGTGAATGCAAAGTGTTGATTACTACTGGTAAGGCCTTAACGCATACTGGTTAGCTCAACGATCCTCAATGAAAATTACTGAGTAGAATGTACGTCTGCTAAATAATTTGTTTCACATTTGCAAATGGTTAAAAATTCTATAATCTTCCTGGAGAAGGGCTTATAACCTTACGCCCTCGGTATCACAGCACTGCTGGACTCTTGTGGGAATTGCAAAGCATTCTGACAATGTCCACCCCTGTCTAGTGCATTTTTATCGGTTATGCGAACAGGTAACGTGTACAGCACTTCATATGAGACCGCGCCATTCCTCATTAAGCTGAACCACACGTAGTAAACATTCTTCTAGAATATGATTCGAGGACAAGACTTAGTTTTTGTTGTTATCAGGTCTGTTTAGTAACTGCTTACTGTGGTTATTCTTGGAAAATCATTGTTGACACTGAAAAATGTCACTCTTAGACAGCAGTTCAAGAGGAATCTAAAAGCATTACAGCATTACATGAACGAACGGATCTCATAAAAGTAGCAGTTCGTCAGGAAGCAAAAGAAATTAAGGATCAACTGATAGAGATGAATCGGCAGTCGCTCAATAGAAACAGCCCTTCACGCTCTGCCGATCAGACAAGTAGGGGTAAGTTCTTTTAAAAAAAAAATACTCCTTCACTGGGACCAAATGGAATGAAACAAAGCGTCGTTTTTTTTAAAATAAATGTGCAGGTTAAGAGCCAGGGTCGGCCAGGGTTTTTGGGTATACGGTATACAGGGGCTTTTTAAATCGGGTATACGGTATATTGCAGCTTAAATACGGGTATTCGGTATATCACTTTCTTTGAATTTCAGGTATAAAGTATACCTGAAAATATACCTGGGTATATTTGAATAAATTTTGGGTATTTTTGGGTATTTTGGCGAGTTTTTTTCGGGTATACTGGTATACCACTCCCCCCCCGCCCCTGGCGACCCTGAAGAGCAGTTCGAAGAGGTTGTCCTACCATAGCCCAGATGCAAAATCGGCAGAACAGGACAAGGGCCAAACCTTTCAGTTTGCCGCATCCTTATAGTTAAAATATGGTTGTTTTTTCTTCACACTCGGACCTTTCTCTGCATATAATTTTATAAAACTATGACGATGATATACCGTTTCGTGCCATAGTTTGTTCAAGTAAATGGGGCATGTTAGTCATCTAAGTTTTGATTTTCCAAAATTGTTCGCTGCCACATTGACTTTTTCCACAATCAGCTTCAATTACGAGCGCACGCAATAAATCTAGGGTGGCAGTTTCTTACTAACTGAATCACTGTAATACTTGTATCCAATGAAAGCTCAAGTTGATGACTTTGTTAAACAAAAATGGGAAACGATTTGTTGGATCTATTTGAACATCTTGTTGGGCGACGCTGGATGCGTTAAATGAATTTGCTAGATCACCTTGAATGAAAAAAACTTTAAGTATTTTTTTCCACCTGAACTTGTCTTGCAACATTGTGCTTGCCCCGGGTAAATTCTTGGAACTTCACAGATGTGCTGCGGAGGCCTTTAACCCTCATTTCGTTTCTCATACAGGATTAAGTAATTTCTTAAACCAAAGTAGGTGATAGATTTTTCTGAATTATGTTGTTGGTACTCGGCACTCACAAGTCTTTTAAAGGTTTCTTTTCCTATAAGACATCATGTTCAGATGCTAAATAGTGAAATAATTGTAGACTCAAAACCCCGAAAGCCTTACCCTGTCCAGCGGCTAATAAATAAGGGAGTCCTCCCCACCCAGGGGTTGGTCGGTACTGGTTTCGTTAGTTAACATACAAACGATGGCCTGTATTCATCAACTTTGTTAAATTTAACATTGTTAAATGTTGGATGATTGATCAACTGATCTTGTTTGAACGGGCCCTTAGTTTGATAAAAAGCTTAAATAATTATATTTCAGTGACGTTTTAGATTGTAAAATAAAGGTTTTAATTTCTAGTCCATGGTAGTTGTAACGTTTTAGGGGAGAGGGAACATAGTCAGAGGAATAAAAAGTTATGTTCAATCGCGATTTGGGAATCCAGATCCAAATTTAACGGATTATTTTGTCATTATGTATTAGCTCTTCTTCCATTGAAGATTGACTGTGAGGCCTTTTCTGGAACTGGTCCACAACGAGAAGCTACAGTGATGGTAGAGGCACCACTGGAAGACCAAGGAAAGATCGAAGAGAGAGCAGTTGTACCAGCCACCCTAAGTCCGTCACAAACCTCGAACGTAACTGCTTCTCAAACTATTCCTTCCTCACAAGACATTTTGAATTTAATTGCCTCAAAGTACTTAAATAATTTGAACCCATCAACACCGGAAGATTTTAATGGTTTTGTACGGTATATGAAAGAGGTACGCGAGGTGATTTTAGTGGATTGTAAGCCAGGAAGCTTGATAATCACTGTAGAATGTGGGTCTTTGAAGATCCTTGAAAAACTTTGGCAAGACTATTGTACACGCAATCTAAGTCGAGTGGTGCAGCAATACCTAGTGACCGAGGATATTCTAAAAGAACTTGGACTAACGGAGGTAAAACTGACTACGACCATCGACGAAGAGGACTACAGAGCTTGTCTAAAGTATTTTAAACGAGGTAAGTATAAAAGTCTTCAACTAAACTAGTTCGGATCCAGTTAATTCATCAAGGTTAAAGAGAAGCAAGCAATTGAAGTAAGTCAATATAGCACACATTCACATTGGCTACATTTTGAAAAAAAAAAAAACTGGACAACGCCAGCTTCCTAAACAGTTTTTCTTCCATGGCTCGACTATGGGTGCGTTCGATTGGGAAAGCTGGATAAATTTTAGATTTTTATACTACTGAAAATCCGGATTTCGGATTTGCAATTAAACGCAAAATCCGAAAACAGATTTCAGCGCTGAGATATCTGTTTTTGTATTTCCTTTTACCGTTCGATTGGGAAACCCGTAAAAGGATTTAAAAAACTGTCCTTAAGGTGGCTCGATAGAGTTTTTCAAGGCCAATACCTCCCAAGTTTGAGCATAAACTACGTCGCCATAAACAAAGTTTGGGAAAAATTGCCCCCACAGTTGTATTAGATAAAGATGAAAATCTTTTATGATCAGGGTTGCAATGACATCGGAGTTGTCATAGCAGCGAAATGACGCTATTACCTATTTTACTTACGGAAGTATTTCTCGGTACTGAGAACTGTTCTTCCAAAATTATTCACGGGAGCTTTTTCCTCCAATAGCCGCCCGATGTTCGTGAAGTTTAAGCGAAATCTGTAAGAGCGTTATCGAGATATTTTGGGATCAAGATTTTGTGGTTAGAAATACGGTAAAAAATGGATAATCTTGATGTTCGGCTGTTTTAGGAATGAAAATGAAGCGCTTTTGACATGCAATTTCACCTGATAGTAGTTTCAATCTTTTTAAAAACGTGTGTGAAAGACCGTGGAGATAGCTCCACCCGATTGCTAGAAAGAAGGATTTGATTAGTATGTGTCGAGGCGCTTTTGTTAGCGGTTTTTGAACATTTTGGTCTACTTTAACAAATTAGTTTCAAGATTATTGATATATTGTAAGGCAGTAAAATAAGGGCTACAATTCGCCAATATTTTGGCAGAAATTTTGTGTTTACAAATGTGAGCCTCTCATTATTCAGGGTATTGTCTCCAAGTTTCATATTTTCGCGCATAACAATAGCTAGCATTTTTGCATATGTCAAATGCATTGTTAGTTACTGTTGTTCGCGTGAAAATGAAACTTGGAGACAATGCCTTGAATAATGAGAGGCTTTCACTTATAATAACGAAACTTCCGATAAAAAAGTAACGAGTTGTAGCCCTTATTTTACTGCCTTACAATGTATCAATAATCTTGAAACTAAAAGGTCATATAAAAGAAAGGTTAATCTCAAGAATCTTAAATTTTAAAAAAAATCTATCGAGCGGTTTAAAAATTATTCGCTAATTTTTTAAAGAAGACCAAAATGTTTACAAAACCGCTTACAAGAGCGCTTCGATACATACTAATAAAACCCTTCTTTCTAGCAATCGGCTGGAGCTATCTCCATGATCTTTCACACACGTTTTTAAAAAGATTGAAACTACTATCAGGTGAAATTGCATGTCAAAAGCGCTTCATTTTCTACAGATAACGGTCAAACAACAATATGGTCCATTTTTTACTGTGTTTCTAATCGTAAAAATTTTATCCTAAACTATCTCGATAACGCTCTTACAGATTTCGCTTAAACTTCACGAACATTGAGGCTGCTATTGGAGGAAAAAGCTCCCGTGAACGATTTTGGAAGAACAGTTCTCAGTGCCGAGATACACTGCTTTAAGTAAAATAGGTAAAAGCGTCATTTCGTTGCTATGACAACTCCGATGCCGTTGCAACCCTGATCATAACAAATTTTCATCTATATCTCATACAACTGTGGTGGCAATTTTTCAAAAACTTTGTTTATGGCGACGTAGTTTGTGCTCAAACTTGGGAGGTATTGGCCCTGAAAAACTGTATCGAGCCACCTTAAGAACGGTCTTGCACGCGCACGCATAATTAGCAAAGAGAAGACTGCTGTTCACGAGAATAGTTTTTCAAATCCATTTTCGGATCTCCCAATCGAACGGTAAAAAGGAAATCCGAATTTGGATTTCTTAATTGAAATCCACCCTAAGGACGGATTTCTCAGAGTTGAAATCCGTTTTCGGCCAGTTTCTTTTGATTGAAAAGTAGGAAATCCGGATTTCAAAAATCTAAATCCGGATTTTGCGATCAGAAATTTTTTGTTCTATTAAGGACTAAACCAATCTAAGATTGCAATCGGAACGATCCACCTCCGCACTTGGATCGTTCAGATTGGTATCTCAATCTCCTTTCAGATCTTTGTTCCATAATGAAACTGCTTTTCGATCGCAAGAACGTGCTCGTTCATTAATAAACACGGCGGGTCAAGATTTGTTCAGGCAAAAGTTATTTTTAACTCTTTCGTTGCTCTATGCCGCTAAAGGATTGTAGTATATTAAATTCCAGCTAGCACAAGAAACCAAACAAAAAATCCGAAAAAAGTTTGGCTAAAAGGAATGCAACCTGTGTTGTATGGTCCTATATCAACCACGTGATATCAACTTTTTATCGTTGCAATGACAACCCATCCGAGGTATTTTTATCCGTTTGTGATTTAGAGTGGTAAAGTTTTAAAAAAAGCCTCTTTAATAAGCGGTATTCCGTACAAAAAGGTACATGCATAACCTTCTTACTGAATCAATGCTGGTGACGACATTTTGCAGTAGGTTACTTATAATTTCCATGTTTTTTTTCTCTTTATATTCGTAGACTGTTTTTTACACCCTAAGTTGTGTTAGTAGCGTCTAGTTAAAAGCTTATTGTCAACATAACTATCAACCACATTTATCACCCACCAAGATTCCGTAAATGAATTTATTATTGGAAAGTTGAATCCGTTGCTAGCAGTAGATTTCAGATTCATTTCTGCATTCTTGCATGCATAATTAGCCGTGAATTCTCACACGAGTCATGAAATTTCTACCAGCTCAGTTTCCATGAATTTGCGTATGTAAAAGTCTTTGAAGAAATTTTATTCATTCATATACACCATTTTCTCATAGACCATAATGCTCCTTGTGTACCGACATGATTTGTAGTGATATTTGGCATAAATACCACGAGTGATATTTCAAAATTGTTATACGTAATTTGAGACAATTTTGAAATATCACAAGTGGTATATATGCCAAATGTCACGTACAAATCATGCTATTATTTGTTTATACTACTACCCACAAAAGGTTTGTAATTTTCACATTTAGGTATTTCAAATTAAGCTGAAATACCACTGCTTTAAGCCAATCAAATGGCAGAAATTTCTCATGTAGTAGTATAATGGGAAGAAGTACTCGTATAATCACTGCTCATTACGCATGCAGGAATGCCGATTTGACACTAGTTACGGGAACGACTAACGGATTTAGTTTTCAAACACTCAATTCATCAATAGAATCTTGGGGGATATATTGCTATCCTAAGAGATGTACTTTATTTTGTCTTACTACAGTATGTAGTCTTTGGTCCGCGACTAAAAATTATTAACATGAATATCTTAGCCCTAACGAGCTGAAATACTCCCTGAAGATAGCTTTTATGTTCCTCTCGGTAATCGCGAAGTTTCAAGTTCCAGACGTAAATATTCTGCTTGGAATTCGAAAAAAGGCGACCGTTTTCGATGGTCCTTGTGGTCCGCGAGTGTGGTCCTTCTTCCACGACTCAGGTAAGCAGCACGAAAAAAACGTAAAAATGTGACAGTTTCCACACGAAAACGTGATTTTCACAATATTTCATGTATTTTTTTCTATTCTTGATGCAATTAAGTTTTTTTCGGAAGATGTTGTGAGTATAAAATAATCTACTTTTCTTTCAAAGCTTCAGACAACAGTCTCCTGCAAGCCTGCTGCAATATGCTTCCAACAGCAGAAATAGGTTGATCTGAAAACCTGTTCTGCAAAAAGGCACTTCTTCCCGTTGCGTTTTAGTTATTCGCAGGCTAAGTAAACATGACCATGTAATTTACGGTGCCGCAAAAGTCCAAACTTCAAGAAAGACAAATTAACCTACCTGTCAACAAACTTTAATTTCGCGTCTTCACCCACAGCAAGAAAGCCGAAACGTCGTCATATGAAAGAATGCTAATCAGTAAATCACGATATCTTTCATTATTCAACTTACTTTTTTTCTCGACAAAATATTTTATCATTTTCCGAAAAGTCGCGGACCAAGGACCACATACTGTACCCGTATATATTACATACTGTTTGTTTTCTTCTACTTTTGGCAACGAGGGTCAGTTTTCCGTTGTTATTGTTGTTTTTTTTTTTTTATTTCTTTTTATCTCGAGGAAATCTAAGACATGACGTTGCCATGGTAAACGATCCTTTTGCGTATCTTCTCTTTTTTCGTCGGTGGAGATCCCAAATTCGTTATTATTTTCAGAAAGATGACGCACGAAAGTAATAATAATAATGATAATAATAATAATAATAATAATAATAATTAAACGTTATTTAAGTGTCAGGTACTTTAGCTATGAAGCTAATTGGGGACACTATGAAATAAAAAGATATTAATATATGTACAGCAATAAAATCAAATATTTACAGTTAAAAAGAAAAAATAAATAGTAAATGAATATAATTCATATATTCATAAAGCAAGAGAGATTTAAGAGATACATAAGGTTCATTCCGTCAAATGACCGGCTAAATCCTTTTTCCTAATTTTTCTTTGAAATGTTTCAGTTTCAGTTAACGTTTTAAAGGCTATTGGTAGAGCTAAGTTCGCTTCCTTTCTCTTTGTTTCTTTTTCTCGACAAGAAAAAGAAATAGGGTTACCAGCACATTAATAGCCTCTTCTTAAAAAAAACACTGTGTCATACTCATAATTCCCCATTTATTTCGTTCGTGAAACTGTCTGAAAAGGGTAAAGATTAGCTTTTACAAAAGCCCCATCAAGAGGGAATGAATGTTTTATGTCACCTATGCTAGTTTCTAAAATCAGCTGTAAAGTGGGAGTTCCAGTTTCGGAACTCTCTCTAGTTGGTGGAAATACTTACAAGTGAAGTTAATTTGTTTCCTTCCAACACTTTCAGAAGGACCCAAGGCAAAAACACCAGCATTAACGGAAGGACATCAAGGGTACTCCGGAGACAGCAGGGGAACCGGGGAGGACGGGGATTTCCAAGCAAGCTCAATGCACCGCCGACACGTCCGCCTATATGGTGGTATGCAAATCTTTGTGAAGACGCTTACTGGAATGACATTTACTTTAGTCGTCAAACCAAATGACACTATTGAGATTTTAAAGAGAAAAATTCACAACAAGTGCCAAATTCCGCCAGAGGATCAACGTCTTGTTTTTGCCGGAAGGCAGTTGGAAGATGGACGGACTTTGAGCGACTACAACATACAGGGAGAATCAACACTGCACATGGTTAAGAGACTTCGTGGTGGTCTCATGCGCATTTTTGTCAAGACTCCAACTGGAAAAACACTTAATATACCTATTGACAATGAACATGTACGTACTATTGAATATGTAAAGACTAAAATCCAAGATGAAGAAGGAATTCCTCCTGACCAGCAACATGTCTTTTTTGCCGGCATGCAGTTGGAAGATGGCCGCACCTTGAGCTCTTACAACATCGTACATATGTCAACTTTGCAGCTAGTTCTAAAACATCAGGAAGGCATGAAAAAGAAATAATTATACCAAGTGACAGAAGAGGGAGGATGGGACTATATAGTAGGAGTTTTATTTTTCTAGATTACATAAAGTCATAAATAGAAATACAGGAAAATAATTGGACTCGAAAGAAAAACAAAAATAAACTGCTTGTAATAAAGTTAATTGAATTTATCAAGTTTGTTCATGCCAGTTTGTTTTACGCACGTTGTCTCGACCTTTGTTCTACACTTCCCTTCAATCGCTAATGTGGATGGCCAAATCTTTATATATATATATATATCTAGGCGAATTTTTGAAAACATACCTCAAAACGGGCCAGAATATTCGCACAGGAACCTGGCGATAGCCGCGACAATTTTGTAGTAGATTCATCACGTTTACGACCCTGTTTACATTCGACCTTTTTGGCCTTTTGCCTTTTGTCTGCCTTTCGTAAACAATAGGTAAAACAATGTAACTACTCCGTCGACAAATCAGAGCCCCTGACCGGATTCCGGACAGATTTTACGTCATCAGTATGGAATTTCCGTCCCTGAGTCGCAGACGTTCCTCCTGGCGAAACGACCCTTGCGGTGAGGAATAAGGAGAAACGGCTGTATTCGCAGGCTAATGAGGGATCCCGACTCTGACGGCTGACGGCTGAATGTTCACTGTTGAAGTTACTTTTCTTACCACTAAAACTCACAACAAACAAAATATCGGACACTGGATT